TCAAACTCTTTGGCTTTAAGTAAAAAAAAAAATCCAAAAAACAAATAAAACAAAGTAAAACCAAGTAAAGGAAGCTTACCTGTAAACTACCTTGCTAGCTAGCCAAGAACATACCAGACTCACCTCTGCTCCAAAGGAAATCCAAAAACAAACAAACAAAAAAATCCAAACTTTTTTTCCACTGCCAAAGTTTTTTTGGTTCTGTTGTTGGTTATTTTTACTTTTTCGGTTGATGGTTTTGGTTTGTTTTTTGTGAAACAAGGAGCAGCACTTATCCCTTTCAACCAAACCACGACGACTGGCCAAAGGCAAGCCGGCGCTCTTGGACTCCTTGCATTCTTTGGTGGGGTGGGGTGGGTTCTTGCGCTGGACTCTCAGCATCCACACGTACCTTGAAGGAGGAAGGACGCGCATCTGTGGATTTAAAGAATTTTATTAAAATAAAGCAAAAACAAACAAAAAAAGATACACAACTTTTGTGCGTGTGTGTGTGTGTGTGTGTGTGTGTGTGAGATGGGGAGCCAACATTGTGTGCTCCCTCCCTCTGTGGATTATAAACGTGTTTCACTTGCCTAGGAGAGCGTGCTAATGAACAAGAACCTTCAGATCCCGGTCCTGTTCCAGAGAGAGCATCATTTCAAACTGAACTGTGACAATCTGTCGTTGATTCTCCACTGCTCGTCAGAGTGTGAGCAGAAAGCAATTGCACCAGTACCTTCTGCTTCTTGTACTCCTCCACTACCTCTCTCTGCTCTCCATAACCCCACCTCTAGCTCCAGTATCTTGTGACTGCCGTCCTTACTCCTTCAACCTTTCACAGGAAAAAAAAAAGACACCTTTTGTTTTTCCCCTTCTGAAGACTCTTTCGATTGCCTGTAGATAGACCCCCTTGCTTTTGTGTCTACTTGTTCTCCAGATGTTTTCTCCAGTCCTGTGATGAACATTGTCATTGGGTTATTTTATTTCGCTTTCGCTTTTTCTTTTCCCGCCCCGCGTCCCCTCATACGATTTTGCAACAGTTTCTAGGAGGAAAGAAAGGAAACAAACAAACACTTGTTCTTAGAGAAGGAAAAAAAGACAATGTCGATTATTTTGCATTTCTTGCATCGTGTATAACGCACAGAGGACGGGAGTGCAATACGGAAAGTGACATGGCTGCAGAAAGGGAGAAAGCTGGAGACTGCCCAGCCACGGTCAGGGCAAATATTGTACGTTAATGTGAATGTATATAGTATTTGAAGAGGTCCAAAAAAATAATAATAATGATAATAATAAAAGAAGAGACGTTTGCCAAATAAAAAAAAAATGAAGATAAACCACTGAACTATGTAAAGTTTAGGAAATAGGTTTTAAAAAAAAGCAAAATCCACCTGCTCAGTAGGAGCATTAGTTTTCCGGAGTTGCAAAATCCATCACGTGTGTTTTTAAAAAAGTCGGGATTTCAGATCAAAAGTTCCCAGTCACTAGTCATTGCAAAGGGAGGTTTGGCTGAGGGCGATTGACTCAGAACCCTAAGGTGGCTGTGTTTGGATGTTTTCCTCTCCCCTGCAACCCACCCCCGAACCTCGCCCTTGTTTCTGCCGTTTTCAGAAGCACTGTGTGGTTCTTTAGAACATCGATTCAGGTTTTGGAACAACAAGGAGTCCTTTGTTTAGCACAATGGATACATGCAGGGCTAGGCGGCATTGTTCGGTCCCACTGCGGTTGGGTCTGCTTTGCCCTTTCTTTTCTAGTTGTGAGCCCTGGGTCTCTTAGCTGCATCGCATCCAATGTGAGTCCTCCCCGTTCAGTTGCACCCCACTCAAGCTCCCTCCTGGTGGCTGTGAAGTTGTAAAGACCATGTCGTGTCTCTCCTCAGAAGTGCAGCGTGTTCCCATGGAGAGGTTTGGGGTTGTGGCTGTTTCTCTCAGTGGATGTGGCTCTGACGCCGTTTGGTTGTGTCGTCTTGGCTCTGGGATGGGCTGTCCTGGAGAAGGGTGTGGAGGGCTGTGTTTGATGTGTACTTTCACTGCCTCTGAGGGATGGCTGTAGACGGTGCCGCGTGGTTCTCCACAGCTGATGCCGGCTTGTCCTAGGATTCTAGGATTTCAAAGCGAGACAGACCCAGGCAGGAAGTGGGGTTTGAGGGAAGTTGTTAGTGCGATGCTGCAGTCCTTGCGCCCTGCTGTCCCCTCCCCTGGCTCAGCTCTCTGCCACAATGGGGGTATCAGATCTTAAGAACCAGGCGTGGATCCCATCCTATTGAAGGCAGCCAGAGTTTTGCTGTTGGCTTCGAGCAGGACGAAGTCACAGTTCTTACATCCAAAGTTTGCAGGCTTTGAACACCTGGCAGTTCTGAACTCAGTGAACCCGGCAGCATTTGAACCCGGCCAGGAGCCAACAAGTGCCAGAAGCACCCCCATTCTGTAGCCCTCCTCTCCCCCGCCATGCCTACACGGTAATGTGTCCCAGGGCCGCCCAGAGGATTCAGGGGGCCTGGGGTCTTTGGCGGCGGGGGGCCCCCGCTGCCAAAGACCCGGCGCTTCGGCGGCAGGTCCCAGGGTGGAAGGACTCCCCGCCGCGGGTCTTCAGGGCACTTCGGCAGTGGGTCCGGAGCGGAAGGACCCCCCGCCGCCGAACTGCCGCCGAAGACCCGGAGTGGAAGAAGCTCCGGGGGCCCGGGCGCCATGAGAGTTTTCCGGGGGCCCCGGAGCGAGTGAAGGACCCTGCTCCAGGGGCCCCGAAAAACTCTCATGGGGGTCCCTGCGGGGCCCAGGGCCTGGGGCAAATTGCCCCACTTGCCCCCCCCCTCTGGGCGGCCCTGACGTGTCCTCACATGACAATCTGGACACCTTACGCTGTTGGAAGCTTACATCCCTGGGGAACTGTGGAAGACTTTCCTTAACTTCCTCCAACCCCATGGCAGTCTGGTCTTTCTAAAGCAGGCCTGGATTCCTGGCTAGTAAGAATCTTCTCCTGGAAAATACCAGCCCACATGAGCCCCCCACCCCCGAGAGACAGTTCCTCTAAAGTCCCAACTGCTGCTCTCCAGAGGAAGGTCACATCCTCGGTGAGGGATGAGAGGAGGGACACAGTAAGAGACAAAGCAGCCTGTAAATATCTGTGAGTGCAGAACTTCCTCCCCTGGAACTGATTTGCTGTTTGACGCAGGCCGGTCCCAGCAGCAATGCCACTGGACTGATCTCTCTGCATTGCTGAAGGTCTCCCTAGGACCTGTAGTGAGTCTTGAAGCCCAAGGTGAAGCTGTGCAGAGACTGGTCCCTCTGCGGGAGCCGTGTGCTGCAAAGCGGCCGGGCTGCCCTAACTCGCTGGCCTGGAGCTATTGCTGGGGGTTGTTTACCAACCATTTGACGGTAGCTTGCAGTGAATCCAGCCAAAGACCTTTTAATGGGCCAAACCGGAGAATTCGTAGCTTCTGTTTGTTTCCTTCCGCAGCCTCATTCATCCAGCGTTAGGTTCTGACCCTGGTTTTCTGACATGCATCACTCGCCCTAAGAAGGATTGTTGTGTTTATTTATCACGTGATATATGTATATTGTCTATTTTTCTTATATTTCATGAAAAGAGGTAATATATAAGAGTTTTCAGATGTCATTAACCGCAGGGTTCATCCTGCCATTCGTAGTGTTTGTTATTTTTCTAAACCTCCTCTTGTGCTTGAATTTCGGCCGCCTCTCTGTCCCATCCGTCTCACATCTGCTCAGCATCTGGACCCTGCCGCTCTACCTCCAACTTGCTTAAAAACCATAGACGACAATTGTATAGAAAGGAAATAACCCCATTTAAAAAGAACTCAACAAGCTTGCCTTCAAACCAAAATCTCTGGGAGGGGAGAGGTGATCGGGAGGGGAGCCTCTTGCGGAAGTCCAAAGCGGAAAGCTTTAAAATAGAGTATTTCAGTGGCCAAAAAACCAACAGGAGTATGCAGCTTCCCAGACAGTGACGCTCGTGGGCAAGAGGGTGGCACAAAGAAAAGCAATAGAGAAAACCACTTGCTGGCTCCTATGGGTAGGGCTAGAGGATGCATGCGGTTCCAGGCTCTTAAGTTGTGAGATGGTCTTGCTAAACCTCCTCAGTCAGAGGTTATGTGTGGGCTTTGCAGGGTCACCTCACCCTCCTGTGTCCTGCTAATCCCTGATTCCTCTGCCAGTGCCCCCCATTGCCTGGGAATGTTATTCCCAGTGGAACATACAACAGCTGGGAGAGTTAATAACCTCCTCAGCCATGGCCATGTCAGCAGGTTTTAAATCCCCGGGGCAAGGCAGCATGGTTAGATTGTGTAGTGCGTGTTGTGTGCACGCCTTGCAGTGGGCCAGATTCTGCTCGCAGTGACTTACCTGCAAGCGCTTTGTCTCCATGGGGTTTGCAGAGATGTCACTAAGAGCAGAATTTGGCCTGCTCCACTGCGTATCCACCTGCCTCATGGTTACAGTGTAGGCCCAGATTGTGTAGGAAAAGGAACTTAACCTAGGCCAAAAACCCAGGGAATGCTGACTCTCCTGGGCCCAGGAGCTGACCCCGTGCATATTACTGGGGGGACGGGTATAGGGGGCAATTGGGAGATTTCTCTCTCCTGGGTGGTGGCTCTTTGGGCATCTTTTTGTGAAGTCCCTGAAGATGATCAGAAAAGGAAGGGCCAATGTTTCGCCCCTCCTGCAGCCC